TCATTAGGTCAATGATCCCAAAACGATTACTTTCTCTGTTCCCTAGTTATTAGTTAAATATGAGTACTTAGATAGTATGTCAAAGTTGGGGTCAGAATCTAACTGAGAGATCAGCTAATCTCCCTTATAATCACATCTCTACTAACTGGCTGCATGAATTGGTTCAAATGTGCTGGAGAAAAGATTTAAGTATCCATGAAAGCTTCCATAGAATGAAGCTGCTAATAAGAACTTTGAAACTGGCTGGGTGTGGTGGCTCACACCTGTAATCCTAGCAGTCTGGGAGGCAAGGCAGGTGGATTGCTTGAATTCAGGTTTAAGACCAGCCTGAATAAGATTGAGACCCCATCTCTACTAAAAAATAGAAAAACTAGCCAGGTATAGTGGCAGATGCCTGTAATCCCAGCTACTTGGGAGGCTAAGGCAACAGGATTGCTCAAGCCTAAGAGTTTGAGGTTGCTGTCAGCTGTATGATGCCATAGCACTCTACCCAAGGTGACTGAGTGAGACTGTCTCAAAACAAACAAACTGCTTTGGAACGGTTTTCTAACATACTTTAGCCCTCTTTTACTTTTGAACTAATTATAATTCTGTTAATAGTACCATAATTTCAAAGGATAAAAGCTGTCTATTGTCTACTAAAATAGACACACTGGGGCGGTGCCTGTTGCTCACTGGGTAGGGCGTTGGCGCCTGTTGCTCACTGGGTAGGGTGTTGGTCCCATATGCCAAGGATGGCGAGTTTGAACCAGGCCAGGGCCAGATAGCAACAAAAAAATAGCTGGGTATTGTGGCACCTGTAGTCCTAGCTAGGCACCTGTAGTCCTAGCTACTCGGGAGGCTGAGGCAAGAGAATCACGTAAGCCCCAGATTTGGAGGTTGCTCTACTGAGGGTGATAAAGTGACACTCTGTCTCTATAAAAGAAAAAATAATAAAAATAAAAAAAATAAAATAGACATACTATTGTTCCTTATAAAAGATTATGATTTAACTGTTTCTTTGGTTATAACCATTAGAAAGTTCTTTATCCTAATATAGAGATGTGAAATAAGAACCTTAATGAAGGAGGTTACTACTTAGATACACTCAAGCATCAATACAACATTTACATTCATCTTGGGTGCAATTATGACCAATTCATTCATTAGAAGGAATACTCTAAACTTTACTGAACAGAGAACAATGCGCTTTCTTCCAATTGCTCAAGAGTTTGGTTAAATGCCATGAGCAGACATGGAAAGCTAAATGTTTACCCTTATGAACAACTATAAATGAAGACTACTAGTACATAGCAGTATGGATTACAAAGGAGTTTCTACTTTCCCCATAGACTCAAAAAGAGGCACAGTAAATATGGGGAGAAGGGAAGTCAAGGAAGCAAGGATACCAGGAAAGCCTTTGATGTTTAACAGAAATATTAGGAAAGCCTCAGAAATTTAACAAAAACAACAAATGTTTAATAGATTACATATATAGTTGGAGAAAGAAACAAAAGATGGGATAGATGAAACAGCCATGGCTGACCTGAACCAAGGCTTTTTACCTGAAAGCTGGGGACTTTTATTCCCCAAGGAACTGCTGCGACTAGATTTGCTGCCTTTGCTTTTCGTGGGTCGCCTTCTTCTCCCTGAAAGGGGAGCAGCTGGGGGAATGATGACAGCAGGGGGAACCTTGCCCAGTTTGGTATACAAAGATTCAATTTCGTGTTTTTGGCGACTCTGCAGGTCCTGAATCTCTTTAAGATGTCTATGAAAGATAAACAAATATAACCCTTTTTGTTCAAACAAGAATAACATACTCTTAAATCTGTATTCAGATATTTTCTAGTTACTAATAAACATTTTACCCGAATATACTATACCATGAGATTCTAGCTTGTCAACTCACCTCTCCATTAACCAAGCCATATCCCAACAACCTCCTAAACCAACAAAAAATGATTGATAATGTGTTAGGGGAAAAAGAACTCCTGACTTTTGAGGCCACATGCAAGACATGTGAATTTGCTACTTTGATCCAAACTGCCAAACAGAATTAACAAAATGTGCCAACATAATGATACTGTCCAGTGCCATTACTAGATTCATTTGGTAGGCTAGTAAACAGCCAAGAGTGGTTAATAGCAATAAAAAGTGGCTCGGCACCTATAGCTCAGCGGCTAGGGCATCAGCCACATACACCAAAGCTGGTGGGTTCGAACCCAGCCTGGGCTTGCCAAACAACGACAACTACAACAACAACAAAAAATAGCTGGGTGTTGTGGGGCACCTGTAGTCCCAGCTACTTGGAGGCTGAGGCAAGAGAATCACTTAAGCCCAAGAGTTTGAGGTTGCTGTGAGCTGTGACGCCATAGTACTCTACCGAGGGCGACATAATGAGACTCTGTCTTGAAGAAAAAGTCATAAAAAGTGCTATTAATAAAAATAATATTATAGCAGCAATACAAAGTAGTCCTCAGTATACAAGAACCTAATGAAAGCGTTTGCATATCTCCTTCTCTTTAAAAGAAAGATATCAGCACACTGCAGTGAAAAGAATACTAATCCTGGCACTGAGATCTAGGTCTTAAAACATTATTTGCCATTTTTCTTTCAAAGGAGAAAATACACTTACTTTTCTCGTAGTCTTCGTAGTTCTAACTTTAAGTCTTCATCTTCAATATCTGACTCATTATCACTACTCATGTAAGAGGAGTTGAATGAATTACTAAGGCTTTGACTTAGAGTTTGGATAGGAAGGCTCTTTGAGCACAGCTGATGAGGGGAGCGTGGACTACCTGAACCATCATCCACATCTCTGCTTAGAAAGGCAGCCTCCAGATCAGAAGATGGCCCATTTAGATGTGAGGGCTCTGACAGTTCAGGCTTTTCTTTCTTTGGTATCACAGCAGGAAGAATAGCTTGTTCCAAATCCACATAAGGAGGGGATGTCAGTGTTCCCTCTTTTTTTGCCTCAGCAATCTTATCTTCAGTTCTTGATACAGAGAAACGACCCACTTTATTTGCTGTACTTGATACCTGAAAACGTCCAACCTTGGTAGGCTGCCCAGTTTCTGACTTTGCCTCTGGGGCTGGAGTTTTGTGGGCACTATCTGGCACATCTGAAGAGATACTGTGAATGGTTATCCCATTAGGTGCTGGCTTAACCACAGTACTCTCTGGACTACTACTAGATAGCACCGAGGACTCTGAAGTACTAGATTCAAAGTGAACCGACTTTGCATCTTCTGGCTTATTTTTACCCTCTTTCTGGGCATCATCCATTGCAACTGAAACCTGATGGAAAAACAAAAACAAAGTGAGATTAAAAGCCAAAGTTCTAGGGGGCATGGTTACTCATGTCTATAAAATCCCAGGACCCTGGAAGCCCAAGGTTAGAAGACTGCTTTTAGGCCCAAGTGTTAAAAAGTTGCAGTGAGCTATGAGGATGCCACTGCACCCCAGCCTGAGTGACAGAGTGAGACCCTGTCTCTAAAAATAAAATAAAACCAAACAAAATAACAATAATTAACATGAAACTGAAGTTTTCCATCATGGACAAACCCCACACCCCCCCCCCCCCCAAAAAAAACTATATGTACATACATACATATATAAATAAAAGGAATCATTTTATTTTCTAATGAGCAGTCCATCTTTGTGAAAATAAACCATTATAGAGAACATAACTGTACTGAGACGCAGACTGAGTAGCTGGCTAAGCTTATTAAGCAAATTATTTACTTCCATATCTCATGTCATATGCAAGTTTTGTTTATTCACAAAAACCATATAAAACTATAAACATTAAATCTAATACCTGTTAAATGCCAGCTAAGCCTGAAGAATGAATACATCTGGGAACTAACAGGAAGTTCCAGACCCTTGCTCATGTATTACCAATACAAACTCCCAGAAGTCCAACTACAAACTCTCAGAAGCTTGATTTTATGAATAAGAAAAATATCATCTACTATCCCCAACCCCAAGGGCTATCAGAAAAACAATCTGAAAAAAGTTGTGAAAACAGACAATGAACAAAGTCATACAGTATGACTTGATGATGACTCATAAAAATCATCCTAATCACAGAAATGCTTTTATACACAACGATGTTTACTGTTACTTTACTTATGATATTGGATTGGATGCAACCTAAATGAGCAGGAATAGGAGAATGGTAGATAAAACTAATAGATGGGGGAAAAAGCTACAAAATATTCAGAGCTGGAGAAATCGTGGTCAGTTTTAGAAACACACCTGTGCATAGACTAAGGAGTGGAAGGTGATATACCAAAAAAAGTAATCTCGGGAGGAAGGTGGGTAGATAGTACAACTATCTGTTTCTTTACTATTCTAAGTATTTTACATTTTCTTTAATTATTACATATTATCAAAAGAATTATTACATATTATTTTAATTAGGGGAAAATGGTAAAAAGAGCTATAAAAGTACTATGTAAAAGAAATATATCATTGATTTAGCAATTATGTCCCAAATCGGTAATATCATACAACTCCCCCCAAAAGAGGGAATAAAGGCAAAGAAAAGTGATCATCTTACCTGAAATCGTCCCATCTTAAAAACACCAGCTCCTGAAGTAGTTGCTAAGACATGGCCTTCTGTACCCTGAGAAACTGAAATACATAGAAGAGAAAAACAAATTTTCTCTTTTAGTTAGTTTCTTTTCTCTTTGGCTAGAAATATAGCAAAATGGTCTCACTCTTGCTCAGGCTGGTCTTGAAATCCTGAGCTCAAGCAATCCACCTGCCTCAGCCTCCCAGAGTGCTAGGATTACAGGTGTGAACCACAATGACTGGCTAAAAATTCATTTTTAAATGAAAACTAGCTAATTTTACATTCTCAATGTACCACTCAGGTGATTTATCCTAGAATAGGACAGTCCAGTTCTCATTAGTAACCAGTTCTGAGCAACCAGTTTAAAGCCACCTAAGTCCTCCTTTGTTTGAGTTTTTTCCCTAAAGATATTGTAGACCTGTATCAGCATATATTTTCCTTTTGTGTTTTCGAATGCTTCACGAATTTGCGTGTCAACCTTGTGCAGGAGCCAGGCTTATCTTCTCTGTGTCATTCCAATTTTAGTATGTGCTACTGAAGCGAACACAGCATATATATTTTTTATTTTATACAGCAAGTAAAACAGTAATGATTTAGATGTTTTCACACAACGATGTATCTTAGAGACCATTGCATAGCAATACTTCATTCTTTTAAATGGCTGCATAATGTCCAAACATTAGACATTATAATGTCAAACAATAGACATTATGTAGCCATTATAATGATCTTTCAGTGTGCCATATGTATATTTTGGGGGGGGGGCGGTTTTTGGCTGGGGCCAGTTTGAACCCACCACCTCCAGCATATGGGACTGGTGCCCTACTCCTTTGAGCCACAGGTGCCGCCCCCAGTGTGCCATATATACATATATATATATATATATATATATTTTTGTAGTTTTTCGCCAGGGCTGGGTTTAAACCCACCACCTCCAGCATATGGGGCCGGCACCCCACTCCTTTGAGCCACAAGCGCCGCCCAAGTGTGCCATATTTTAATCAGGTTTCTACTGATGAACATTTAAGTTATTCAGAATTTCTTGTGATTTTCTAAGTAAATATTTCTTTTTTTTTTTTTTTTGAGACAGAGCCTCAAGCTATCCCCCTGGGTAGAGTGCTGTGGCATCACAGCTTACAGCAACCTCCAACTTCTGGGCTCAAGCAAGTCTCCTGCCTCAGCCTCCCAAGTAGCTGGGACCGTAGGCGCCCACCACAACGCCTGCCCGGCTATTTTTTTGTTGTTGTTGAAGCCATCATTGTTGTTTGGCAGGCTGGGCTGGATTCGAATCCACCAGCTCAGGTGTATGTGGCTGGGGCCTTAGCCACTTGAGCCACAGGTGCCGAGCCCCTAAGTAAGTATTTCTAATATATATTCTCTTATAGTTCTATGGAATAAATACCTAAGAATGGAAGTATTGAATCATTTCCAATTGAAACTTCTATAAATTGATTTCCATGGAGGCAGTGCCAAGTCACTGGTGGCTATTAAACCAGTCAGTTACCAATGAGAGTATTATCTGTAGTTTTACTTTGAATTTGTCTTATCATTAAGGAAGTTAAGTACTTTCATGTCAAAGTTTCTTTTTCTATACCTTGATTATTTTTTGATCCATGTTGAATTTTAGGAACTCTTTACATTAGATAAAACCAGTCCTTTTTGTGATTTGAATACACATACGCCTCTCTCCCCAAATATATACATATATACATAATTTCTCCAGTTTTTCATTTATCTTTGCACTCAATGGCACTTTTTTCCATGCAGAAATTTTTAAATCTACTATTGGCTTGCTCTACATTGGATAGTAAACTTAAGAACACCTTCCTCTATTATTAGGAAATAGCAAATTATATCTGTGGATCAAATTCAGCCTACTGCTTGTTTCTGTTAATAAATTTAACTAAAACAAAGCTAGTTCAATTTTGGGCTACAACAGGAGATCTGAGTATGTTCCAACAGGGAATGTAAGGCCTTCAAAGCCTGAAATTTTTATTATCTATCCTTTAAAAGAAAATATTGTCAACTTTGCTCTGAACAGTTGAAAATAAAATCTCTTTTTAATGTTTTCTTTTTTTTTTTGAGACAGAGCCCTCAAGCTGTCCTCCTGGGTAGAGTCCCATGGCATCAGAGCTCACAGCAACCTCCAACTCCTGGGCTCAAGCGAGTTTCCTGCCTCCGCCTCCCAAGTAGCTGGGACCACCATAGGCACCCACCACAATGCCTGGCTATTTTTTTGGTTGTAGCCTTCATTGTTTGGCGGGCCCGGGCTGGATTCGAACCTGCCACCTTAGGTGTATGTGGCTGGCGCCTTAGCCACTTGAGCCATAGGCGCCGAGCCTTTAATGTTTTCTTATAGTACTGTTTTATGATATAAATGTATGTGCATAAATTAATTAATTATTTTGAGACAGAGTCTCACTCTGTTGCCCTGGCATCGTCATAGCTCACAGCAACCTCAAACTCCTGGGTTCAAGCAATTCCTCTTGCCTTAGCCTCTCAAGTAGCTCGGATATATGGGTGCCCACCATAGCACCTGGCTAGCTTTCTACTTTTAGAGATGGGATCTTACCCTTGCTCACAATGGTCTTGGACGACTCAGCTCAGGCAATCCTCCCAACTTGTCCTCCCAGACTGCTAGGATTATAGGCATGAGCCACTGCACCCAGCCTTATGATATAAATTTCATCTTTGATCCATTTCAAATTTGCTTAGGTCTAGGCTAGCAATTTACCTTTGTTTCTTGCCATATTGCTATCCAATTATTCCAAATCACTTTTGCAATATCCCATCTTTTTCTCATCAATTTGAATGGCCACCTTTTTCATATTCTATGTTTCTCTCTTTTTTTTTTTTTTGCCTTTGAGACAGAGTCTCACTATGTTGCCCCGGGTAGAGTGCTGGGGTATCACAGCTCACAGTAACCTCAAACTCTTGGGCTTAAGTGATTCTCTAGCCTCAGTCTCCCAAGTTGCTGGGACTATAGGGTGCCTGCTACAACATCCAGCTATTTTTTTGTTGTAGTTGTCATTGTTGTTTTGCAGGCCCAGGCTGGGTTTGAACCCACCAGCCACAGTGTACGTGGTCAGAACCCTAGCTGCTGAGCTATAGGCTCCGAGCCTCTACGTTCCTTTTTTATTGGTAGTGGACTTTTAACTTTTTTTATTTATTGTCATTGGATATGTTTAAGGTGATAAAGGTGATAACATTACACCCTGATAATTTATTTTCCCCTTTAATATATCCATTTCTAGACTTTCTAGTCTATTCACTGATTTGCATGTGACTTCTTTTAAAATGAGAATGCCAATTCAGAATGTATTTGCCTTGAAAATAATGTTTAAACTGATGAATTGAAATTTTATATTTGTATTTTTATACAAATGTATGTCCAGAATATAAAAGCTTGTCTCTATCCCTACATATCTAGTGCCATAAAAGCCAAAGATTGTCAGTAAATTAACTTTTATAAATATAGCATGCTTGAATTTCTTAATCCCTCATAGGAAGGCCTAACTAGTAACAAAGAGTTTCGTGCTAAGAATCTATTATTACCCCCTGTATAATTCCCATCAATAACAATACAGTAGATTGATTACATTTGTTAATATTTTATACTTTAGATGTCACTATGAAATACATAAAAAGGTTCCTTATAATAGTCTCATATAGACCTACAGTCTCAATAATGTGTCTCCCAAACAGTAAACCCCTATAATCAATTATAGGTAGGACTGGAATTAGTAATATAAAAGGATGCTTCTCACCATCCTTCTGAGGCTGTGCTCCTGATTCTGTAACAGCTATTGGAGCCACCATGGACACAGGCTGCAAAACATAAAAATAGATGCCATAAAATCTTTAGCTTCAGTCATGTTTAAAATTTTTGCCTTGTTAGTTTATGTGATGGAACTAATTAATGTCTGAGGGACATTGCTTTGTTCTTTTTTCTTCTTATACCCTAAAAATAAGTCTGATATAAAGAAAGGCATCTTTTGTAAGAAGAAACTTTGAGTCTTAATCCTCTTGAATGCTTTGTTAATTTTTTTCAGAGGATATGTAAGAGTGTAACTGGGATATTCATAGAAATGTAGTTGTAATTAAAACAGTATTGTCTTAAGAAGTTTAGCCTCCTACAAAGAGTAAACACATAGAACTCATCTGTAATATGGTCTAATCAGAGATAAGACTAGAGAAGTGCTTTCAATTCGAATCTTTCCCATAGTTACGCTATTGGGTAAGTGTTAATCTTTTGTTAACCTGTCTCATTCCTGTTGGCTAGAACAAGCAGGGACTCTGAATATGTATTAAAGGTACTAAAAATGGTTTAGGTTACAGTTTGTGTTCAAGAAATATAATACATTAAAGTTAGGAGGGAATTTTATCGAGATTTTCAAAACTTACACCAACTGCAGTTGTCACTGTAATAGTCTCTGGACTAAGTGTTCTTCTCAATTGAGCGTCAAGGTCTTCTAGAGGTTGTTGGGACTGAACAAAAAGGAATACAGTAAATATAATTCTATGGCAAATTTCAGAGCCACAATATGTAGGCAATTTATATAGGATGTACTATTTTATGCTTTAGATTGGCACAACATACCATTTTTCTTCATATATATTATAAAACTCACTACACTAAAACTTAGTTACACTGCTTTAAGGATTATATGTCAGTCTATCAGCCGTAGAGTAATTCATGTTTTTCCATTTCAAAGGCCTTCGTTTTTAACTTTCTATATTTGGTGTTACTCAGAGTGATAGAAATGCTCTCCTCTTTTTAAAGACCAAGTCTAACTCTGTTATTTGGGTAAGAGTGCAATTGCATCGTCATAGGTCAACGCAACCTCCAACACCTGGGCTCAAGCAATCCTCCTGTCTTAAGTCTCCAGAGTAGCTGGGACTACAGGTGTGTGCCACCACATCTGGCTAATTTTAAAATTTTTTGTAGAAATGAGGTCTTGCTATGTTGTTCACACTAGTATCCACCTCTTGGGCTCAAACAATTCTCCCACTGTAGCCTTCCAAAGTACTGGGATTATAGGCATGAGCCAATATACCTGGGTTGTCTTCTCTTTAAAAATGTATCTCTGAAAAATGTACAAAGAGGTCCGTTGGAAGATTAACTATATCCAGAGTTTGATATTTTCTTTTTTTGAGACAGGGTCTTGGTTCTGTGGCCAGGGGACAGAGTACAGTGGCATCATCATAGTTTAGTGTAAACCCAAACTCCTGGAGCTAAGGAATTCTCCAGCCTCAGACTTCCAAGTAGCTGGGACTACAGATAAGCCCTACCACGCTCAGCTAATTTTTCTATTTTTTATAGAGATGGGGTCTCACTCTTGGTCAGGCTGATCTTGAATTCCTGGCCTCAAGTGATCCTGAGGCATAGTCTCCCGAAGTGCTACGTGTACAGGTGTGAGCCACCATGCCTGGCTTGCTCTATTTTCTTTCTCAGTTTTTAAAACCTGTCTGGAAACTTGTCTTTATGAATAAAAGATGGCATTAATATATTCTCTCATTATCATGGCATATTATTCTCTCCTTCACCCC